TCTAACGAGACGAATCATAGTCACTCGTCCTTATGGCACTATGACTATGGCAAAATGGGCAAAAGGACACGAAATCGCCTGCTGAAAAGTGTCGAAAGACCCTTTTATTGGAGTCAACGAGAACATCAAAACTTAGAGTCAGAGATAGAAACATCACACCGCGGCTGAATTTCAGTCGGCTCCTCAAAGTCAACTGGAATGTGATGACTTACATAACCTACAAGGTACGAAATATTGTGGGATGATTCCGGCCAATCAGACTGTACCCCAACTTGTTTCGCCACCCCTCAATTGTCGCCGAGCATTCAGTTTCCAACATTCCAGGATGTTAGGGGGAATATCGCATCCTTTCTTGGTCCGTCTTTCAGACGCCGACAAACTGTGAAAATCTCCCGGATGTATGCGGAAATAGGCTCTGTTCCTGCAAGCATGCTCTTCGCCGGTTCCTTGAACGAATTTAGCGCCGAAACACATGGCACAAAGGCCATTGCTACGAGCATCTCGATGGGTAAGGAGAAATAGTCATCATCGTTGAAAGCGACGGCTTGACCACACGCCTGAACGCATAGGCGGAAATGAAAGAAGCAAATTTCATGTTCCACATTGGGCGGACAGCATCCTACTTTTAACAGACCCGCTGCCCATGAAGGGATGAACTAAACAAGGAAGCGGGGGTAATCATCCGCTAATGCCATTTACCCATGAAAAGCAAACTCATTCGACGCTCTTCGGAAATTGTCGACATCGGTCGACATGGTAACATTTTCGACATTTTCTCGATTCCACTACGCCAAAGTTTAACATTTTTTACTATCTCCCATTCTCCTTTTAATATTTTATTCTATCGACATTCTTGCCTTTCGCCGAAAATTTTTTTTTTGAGTCCTGCCCGAGAACCATGAATGAGATGTGCTCGTGGGATCGTTGGATCGGAGGTTGGATGTGCCTTCCTCCCGACCCAAATCACGACGTATCTCTACAGAGCAAAGTGGACAATTGGGATAATTTTGCATTCGTGTGGCATCGAATATGCATCTTTATAGGCATGCCCTCTCACTCACTGCTGACAGATGCCACCCATTTGGTATTGATTCGAGCACCCCAGGATCCGTATGGAGTGACAGTAAAGGGCATCTTCGGCGTAAGTTCTCAAGGAGATCTAATTTTGTCGTTGGAACGCTTATACTTAATCTCCTTCACGACGTCTTCTATCAGAATTTAACATCAAAATTTAACATCAGAATTAATATCAGAGAGCTCAGAATTCTTCCCTCTTCGCATCGGTTTCCTCGTCCAGAATGCGAATCTTAAGGAGAAGAAGAATGGCTTGGAACTGCACTACTTTCACATTCATATTGCTTCGAAACTTAGACGTATACAGGCCTTAAAGGATTAAACTGCTTTCTACCAAGTTTCTCTCCGTTCAAATTGCACATGCCAAAGTCTCCAAGCGGTGAAAGCCACTGAATCGCTGACATTTCTCTACTGGTTGTAAAAAATAAATGAAAGAGTTTCTCCGGGAATTAGCACGAAGGGCTACTCTCGAAATACAGTAGCCTTTGTCCCGGTTTTATGAACCGGTCGTATATCTTCTCATTCAACTAATCCGCTGCGTTCAATCGTTCCGCTCGCCTTCGAGAAGGAAAGCAGGCGAAAGAGGCCTCGTGGCCGATTCGTAACTTCCATCCTTTCGGCTTCGAGACCAAGGCCATCCAGAGTGCTCGCGTGCCTGGCAGCCACACGTAGTCCCCCCCCCCCCCCCTCCCCAAAAAAAAAAAAGAAAGAGACTTTCAATCTACTACTTGCGAAGGGAAGCTATCGCTCCGGAGCTGAAGTGGCCCATTTCGGCGAGGGTCGAAAGCGGGTTCCGTGATCCGGATCCTATCTTTCATAAGGTTCGGGAATTCCATGCGACGAGTGTAGTTATGTGGAATGTGACATGCGACGAGCGACGATGGTGAAACTTTAAATCGACGGCAACGAATTCGCTCTGATCTTGATCTGATCTTGAGACTATCGATTAGGAATTTCATTTTGTGCAAACCTTTTAGGCTGTAAAAAAAAATCGCTTCCTGGAACACCTGAAAGAACATCAGATAATGACTAGGAATATGTGAAGCATGCCAAAAAGCAATCCTTAAACGTCCTCAGATGTGTTTTCAGGTGCTCCTGGTTGTACTTTTTTTGGCGGTGGTGGGAAGTTATGAGAAATTTAAAATAGGGAATTTATTCAAATGTCCCGTGCGTCCCTCCTTTGAACTTCTTCACAGGGTTCTCCAAACTTTCTTATATCGATATAAAAAAAACTACTGTATATCGAGTATTCGATCCTAATGTGCCAGTGTTAAAACGAACACACTCGTGATAGGCACAAAATCAACGCTGACTCACCTAAACTTCAGGAAGAAGTCACAGAATGAGAAATTCTTTCACAGCCACAGCCAGCCCCCCCCCCCCCCCAGCCGAGATGACCAAGCCCGACCAGGGATAGCGTGCATTGCCGTCCGGTACTTGGACTCAAAAGCCATTACTACCGTATGAGCGACTGTCCTCGCCGTCCAAGTGGCACGCAAGCGGTCCCGGCCTCGCCACATCACGGGGCTGTCTCCTCGCTTCCCCCGTTCGAAGATGACGACTCGGTGATTGCAGAAAAATCATCTCTCCTCATCGACATCATCGATCTCCACGGCACAGTCCCACAATGGCATATCAGAAACAATGCGACCAAGCGGCCGCGAGCAGCAATTAAACTCCCGACAACCCGAAAAACCATCGCCAAGAGAGCATTTTCCCCCACGATTGCGCCCAGTCACGATTCCCCTCCCTCTGCCTCGCTGACCGATGCTACAATTGGCTCGGTCAAGCAAAAACAGGTTGGGGAGGAAGTTTTTCCCCGCTGAGCATTCTGGAACGATTAGTCTATTGCTGAATACATTATTGGTCTGAGTGCCTTTCAATCACAAAGAGAGATAAAGGCCTTCTCTCCTCTCCAGTCTGGCCAGACCAGAGTTCGCAGGTTAGTCGAAATTCCGCTGTTGTGTCCAATCGTGTGCTCAGGCTTTTCGATCCCTTTGTTACATCCCATATGCTCCTTACATCCATTGTTTTGGGCCATAGGGACTCAAGTTTTGTCTTGTCTTGACTTGGGGTCTGGAAGGACTCCAGTCCTTCTTTTGTTATTCTGCAAATAACTATTTTACTCCGGGTAATAATTTTCGTGACGGCTCTCGCTAGTACGTTTCAAAGTCGGTGTTAATTGTACCTAAAAATAGTACTTCATATAGTATATATTTCTGCGCTCTCCATGCCGTACAGAAAGTTGATTGTGACACATATTGAGAAAATGTTTTGAAGAGTAATGAGTGAAAAGACAGCGATAGATGTATAAATTTATAAAACTTCAAAATTGAAAATAATATCTGAAGGGGACAGAAAACATTTGGCCGCCATATTTCCCCGATCTGTCCCCTCCAGATTACTTTATTTGCGGATACTTGAAGGGGAGAGTGTATCCTAACAACCCTCAAACCCTTGGAACTTTGAAAGACAACATTCGAAGAGAGATCAGGCGAATTCCGGGAGAAATGTTAGACAGGGTAATTGATAACTTCAATGTCTGTTGTAGCAGTGATCCAGCACCGAGGTGCCTGGATCAAACATGCAATAATATACTGAAATTGAATGTGAAATATGTAACACATGTTCATGTCGTTTTAAGAAATAATTTTTTTTTTACATTGCAGTGAAAGAATTAGGGTGGATTTTTGAGCAGAGAACTATCGATAATGTTGCTTTATTTCCAGGAAATATAATGTATTTTCCCTGGAATAAAGTTGCATTATCAGATAGTGTTCAGTTCAAAAATCCACCCTTATTGTAATATCTTGAAAACAATAATATTCAAGGATATTAAAAATAGTGGACTTTTTTTGGTCACCCTGTATATAAAAAACTAAATGAGAAAAATAACTTAATTATATTTAGTGTGTCAAGTGTATACTATCTGTCAAAAAGTTCAGTTAAAAATAAAAGCATTAATTAAAAAATTAAGTATCAAACTGAAAAAGTGTCCCTACTAATCTTTATTTAAATACATTCATTCTTACTGGCAACGCATACTAAAAACCAGGTCCAAGCGGACAAGCCCTACGTCCCTGTGATAGGGTTAAGAGTGGTTCATCCTAAGTACGAAGGAATTCTTGTTCCTTGCTCTAAGGCCCAGATGCTGAAACCTCCTTTGGCTAACGGTCCTTTAAGAATACATGGGGGGGAGGGGGGGGGGGGAAGAGCTCTTTAGCTTAAGCGTCCCTTTATTTCCTCTAAATGAGGTTTGTGCATTGGGGCCTCAGCCTTCCATGGAAAGAGTCATCTTTGTTAACTTCGTTTGAATGCACGACTCTACCACGTACTGGTTTCCGCTCGTTATAGTGGCAATACATCCGTCCTTAACAAATCCCTTGGATACTGGTAAAATTTGAACTCTTTCTCATATTTCCGGAACAATTCAGGAATAACCCATTATTCTGTTAAAACTTACAGGACAGGGAAGGGAAAGGGTAAAGCAACTGCTAGTGGAAGACAATCAGTGCTTGTAGTACTAGCATTTGCCTTACTAGTGCCAGTAGAGCTTCAACATGATTAGCTTTCGTTTGAGGTTTTCCTTCCCATTTCGCCACAATTTTCTGATCTATCGTATCCAAAAGTCAGAGTTTGGGATCGCTCTCTCTACGTACAGCCAGCCGTTTTCATTTCTACCTCGGCTCGAACAGAAAATCTGTTTCATCAGAGGGCAATTTTCTCAAAAGGTGTCCATACAAAAAATTTCGTTTTTCAAGTCGACCACCGAGTTGCAGTGAAAATATATTCGTTTGGATAAGATCCAAGAGAGTTTTCATGAACTACCCCAAAGACAATAGCCACCCAATTAAGGGGTTCAGTCTCACCATTTTAAAGAAATGTTGCAGTTGACAGGTGCCTTCCTCTCTTCTAACCCTCCTCTCCCCCACATGAAACATGGCCACAAAATCAAAATACAAAGCCAGAGCAGTAAATAAATTATTGTAATGTGCATTGCAATTACGAAAGAAAATACACTTCAATAAGAGAGACAGCGCAAGATCAAAACTGATTACGAATTTATTCGGGAGATTAAGAGCTCCAGGTTAGAGCTGCAAGAAGAAACTCGAACAATTTCACAGTTTACAGCGATCGAAGGCAGACAACCGGACAACACAGTTTTGGAGCTGGCGATGATCCCATCACATCCGTTCCCTTTTCACTGGCTTTTAATGGTGCTTGATAGCTGGTTGGTGAGAGTGGTGGATCGGCACCATTCGCTCGTTCGGCTTCAATCCTTCGATAGCCTGCATTAAAAAAAAAATTCGTAAAAAAATAAAAATGGAAATTAGTTGGGTTGCTGGAATGCAATTCTCACCGGGAGAGGAGCGTGCACGGTCAGAATCCCATCAGAGGACAGATTGGAGATGACAGCCTCGGGTCGAACCCCTTCGGGAAGGGTGTAGCGACGGGTGAATCGACGAGATATGTACCCGTGCTCGTCTGGCTTCTCCTCGTGGCATCCTTCCACGACAAGGCAATTTTCCTCGACCTTCACGTGGAGCTCTTCCGGCGCAAATTGATGCACGTCCAGCATAACCTGCGCGAGTGATCGCAGCCGTCGGAATCAAATTCTAAAATCCAATCTAGACGGCCTTGAGAAAATGACGGGATTTCATCTCACCTGAAACTTGTCCTTGTCGATGGTCATCCGCCCCAGACCCACGGTACCGTCAGACGTTTGGCGCGCCAGCTGCCGGGATGGGCGATACAACTCTCCATGGCGGGAATGTGGCACCAAGCTTCGCTCGCTCGGTCTGAAGCCAAAACCGGATGGCTCATCGAACATCCGATCCATTAGCTGCATGCTTCGCCTCGCCTCCTCCAACACGTGGCGGAATGGGTCGTAGAAACTCATGGGAACGTCGCGGAAAGCCATCCTGCTGAAACGGTAGAGAACCAGGGGATTTATTTTCAATCCTGCGGGCCCCGTGCGCTACTACTGTGCCGTCTGTTATTTCAAGGTTGTTAATGGCGGAAAAGTTTATTATCTCAGCCCCAACGACTATCGAAGGCGATTCCAAAATAGCATTCCAGGCGGAGATGTCACAATCGGGCAAGGGCGATTATGCCCTGCTCTGTTCCATCGTCGCCTGGTACCTACAACAACGCAATAAGCTGAGCGAATTTGTATGCTCCATTTGGCATTCAATTGTTTGTGATGGCTACACTAGGTGAAAGCCCAAGGAAAACTGCGTTTCTTCCAACCTTTCAACATGAGAAATCCATTAAGTCTATCTATCCTTACTGCACGGGGATAATCCGCCTAGCGTGTACTATCTTCCTCTGCCCTACGTCGTTAGGTCTAGACCCTACAAAACGTCTCACACACTCACACCTGTCACTCACTTTGCAAACGAACGCAGATTCTCTCTTATACGTCCCCCCTGAAAGCCGACGGGATGACACAGACAACCGGCAATGAACTGATGCAGGGCGGCGTGTGGAAGGGATTTCTATACATAGCGATGTCGGCAGGAGACTCCGCCCCCAGACGTCAGAAAAGTCCAGAAATTACGCAGCTGTATTGCCGCGCTCCCCACCTTTGTCTTCTCCTTCTTCGCTTGGGTCTGTACCCCAACGCATTTATTGCGCATGAAATATCAGCATGAGTCAGGCCCGCTCCAAGCAGCGAGAGAATGCCCAAAAAAGTCGAGTTACGCCGAGAAAAGGGCTTTCTTTTCCGTCACACGAAGGTCAGCGCGTGGGTAGTCTCTGGCAACGTCCAGAATTTTCTCGCCCTCCGGCGACTGCGCAAAAGCGTTCCGCCTGCCGAGCCGGCCGGTGGCGGGGAGAAAAGAGAGAAAAAAAGCACACGCTCGTCGACCTTGTTATTGTCTGGACGTCGAAGGGGCTTCGCTCTTGAGACCTTGTATCTTCTCTGCCGGTATTTCAAGTGAGTTTCGATCCCGTTTGCCCTTTCCCTTTGTCCCATAGTTCTTCATTAGGCCTAGCTCATATGCCTAATACACAGCATGCTGAATGCAGTTCAGAGCAGCAGACGGCAAGACTGCATGCAGTTTCAAGCTTTTTTCTGTGTTGCATCTGCTGTAGGGATATACGAAGATACTCAAAGGCCAAAGACTGCTCATTGTGTTAGACGAACACAGCCATCTCGCTGAAGTTCACTTGCTCCATTAAAGATGCCATTTCACTCGGTTTCTATGCGATCACGATCGGGGGAATAGCGGGGAAGAATTAACAAGTGTTCCTGATAGTGATCTGGAACGAATGTGTTCCGGTTGTAGGAAACCGCCGTGAAAATTATATTATGCAACTAGGTGTTCGTGTGCAATTTGGCTTAGGAATCCTTTCAGTCGTGTTAATTTCACGATAAGAGTCCTGCCAGTTTAAACTGATTAATTTGTGAGACATCAGCATGAAACACTCTCTCGGTTCAAAGTGGCGAACTCGCAGCCAGACGCAAAAATCTATGTGCGAGTCGCATTCAAGACTCGACCGAATTCGTATTTTCTTGTTCTCGATAGTACTTAGTCCAGCAATGTCACATATCCTGGAGCATTTAGATTACATTGGGAAAATTTTTGTTGATTTTGATTTTTTTTTAAATCACCGTTGATCCCTAGGGTTTTTTTTTTTCTACGAATGCCAGGAGACCCCCCCCCCCCCCCCCCCCCCCCCCCCCCCCAAAAAAAAAAAAATAAAATTTCGTTGTCTTACGAACTTCAAAATCCTCTCCTGTTCATATTCCAGAACAAACAAACAAAATTTCCTCTATGTTCCTTCACGGTAGCTCAACGGTCACCCGTCATGCAAGGGAACCCAGAAAATATTAGCCACAAGGGCAGTGTCGAGTCGATTGCAACATCTCGGGGCGCACGTTCGTCCGTTTTCGGCCCATCAAGCATTTTCACACCGAGAAGTAATCCGTGGAAACAGGTGACTCGAGGGGCGAAACAACGTGGTCACCTCTGGGACAGGCCGTTAAGGGCCACGAGAAACGCCGAATGCGATACTTGGAGAAGCAAAATAGTTGAAGTTTCATCGTTTCCCCCAATTGCATGACTGTTCCAGTGTGATATCAGATATGATTTATTCAATCACGCATACGATCCCTAAAAGGTCAGTCATGCAGCATTGAGTAATTGCTGCTTATTGCACCCTGCTCACAGCATGCTGCACAGCAGGGGTATGAAATGAGCCTCACAGGCGTAGTGTTGACATTGTGACCGGAGAAGCAGCTATCGAGGTAATATTATGAAACATGCAGATGTGGAAGATTTGGTTTGTATATCGATACCAACGCCGCGCATCGGAACCCCGCCATTAAATTCCCGAAGGAAAGACTTCGGGAAGGAGTCGTTCGTAGCTTGTGTTATTCCCTGTAGTTTCACGGTTTTGCGTTTCAGGTTTCTTAGTTTGTGCTAGCTGGACCTTGTACCTACTTCAGATCCACTCGAAGGCCTACTTCGAACCGGAAGAGCGGCAGGTTCTCCGACCGAATTTATTTCCGTCTCGCCGCGGCGTTCCTCGTTTTCCGGAAGAAGGCAGATCGCATTTTTCCTCCCCTTCCTGCGTTTCTATTCCTGGGTTATAGCTACGTCACGAGCTGCTCCTTGCTCTTCCATCTGTCCCATTTACAGAATATACGAAGATGCAGTTAGAGACTTTTAGCTACAAGCTGTCGCGTTAGTAAAAAAAAAATATGCGTTATGTGAGGTACGCACTTCGTAGTTGCTTTTTTTTCTTTCACTGTAGCTGTTTGACTGTGAACGGAGCAGCTGCACTCGGGAGACGCAGTCATCGTATGGTTCTATGGCTGACATCCTAAGATATTTTTTTATGTAACAAGGTAAATTGTGAAGTGTGTTAGGAGTTTAACTGCATGAAAATGAGATCTGAAATGCACTCCTACGAAGGATTCTTTTCCTGAGGAATTCGTTAGTGCCGGCACGAAACTTTCTCCATATGCCAGATACTTTTTTGCTGTTGTAAGTACTGTATTTTCGTAACTGTAAAATAAAATGAAGTTCACCCCACCTTTAACTGGGATGGTACTTTTCCCAGACATACACCTCATTCTCTATCGAGAATCATCAAATTGTACGTGCGCCTTGCACGTTGACCGAATACTCAGGAAAGCTGCAAAGAACTTTGCGGGATAGTAAATATCAGTGCTGCCCAACCCGTGGCCTGCTGGCAAAAAGTGGCCTGGGAGGCCCTAACCCACAATAAATACCCTCAGGTTTCCTTAAAATAGTCTTCTACCATACTAGTGGTCGCATATGGCTCGCGATAGCTGTGGGAGTGAGCTGTGTGGCCCCAAAGCCGAAAAGGTTGGGCACCACTCCTTTAGACTATACCTTCTTGCAAATCCCAAATACGAAGCAACATAAAAATCAAGTGAAATCTTAGGTCTATCGTTGATACTACAGAAGTGCCCCATGTGAAAAGAATTTATTGTGCCCTCAGACAGAAAGATGTCGCATTGGAGCATGATGCCATTCCGTGATTGGTGGGACGACATGGACCGTTCGACCCGGCTCTTCGACCAGCACTTCGGCATGGGGCTATCGGAGGACGAGCTTGCCCCACCCACGATCTACCATCCATTTTACATCCGTCCCCGGCGACCGGCCTTCACCCGCCAGAGATCCGGCATGAGTGAGGTGGTGAACGACAAAGAGAAATTCCAGGTTGGCATCGATTCAGTCGCAGATCCCCTTATTCTCGCCTACGTGACGATTCTGCCTACGTAGCTCCATTACTCATGAGATAGACTACTATGATGCCTTTTAAGGGAAGGCCTCGGAAAAACACGCCCTACTTGGGAGAGACAGTACATGCGTGACAAAGTGAAAGCGGTAGTGATAAGAGGAGGGGAAAAAAATTGTTGCGTTCATTTTTTTCTACTCCGTCTCTTTTTCTAGATGAAATGGATATTGCGGTAATGACTTGTATGGTTTTTGGTCAAAAGGTCAGCTGATCTTAAGAATGCGTGCTTGTCACGGGACTTGCGTAAGACGGACCGCCGTTCGTAGACACCTGGCGAGCACGAACGAAATCGGAATGATCGTGTTTCCGTGACCTTTACATTCATAATGTCCATCCCACCTCCAACGAGGATTTCCATGCCTAGCAAGAAGCTATGATGCGTGCCGACGGACGTGGAAGGAAAGGTTTTCCTTGGAAATGCCGCTCTCGTTCGCAGGTGAGCCTGGACGTGCAGCAGTTCGCCCCAGGCGAGATCACGGTGAAGACTGTGGACAATGTGGTAGTGATCGAGGGGAAGCACGAGGAGAAGAAAGACGAGCACGGTTTCATCTCCCGTCAATTCCTGCGCAAGTACATGCTTCCCCAGAACGTGAAGGCGGAAGATGTGGCATCCTCGCTCTCCTCCGACGGCGTCCTCACCATCACCGCCCGCAAATTGGTCTCGCATCTCCTGCCCTCCGCTGGGATGCTGGGTCTTTGAGACTCTTCTTACCCCGTGGTTTCTGGACATTGCATCGCTGGTAGAAGAGGGAAACGGTGTCTGTGGCACGGAGATTTTTTTTACATCAAAGATGAGATTTTCTTAACGCCTCGTGAAAGATTCGAGACCTCCATTAATCCACACCCTCTTGGGGCAGATATTAGCCCATCAGAACACGTTGAGTGCTGGTCGCGCCTTGTGAATGGGACCTTCGCGAAAATGTTTGATGCTTCCACCAGGGTGTTATGATTTAATGTTAGATGGAGCCACTATCGTGCGCTTCATGACGGCTTCCTTCTCGCCATTCAATGGGCAATAATGTTCGAGAAATGAAGGGGTAACAAGAGCCTGATTGCTGGAAAGTGAATCATGGTAAACATGATAAATTGTTGAACTTTCGATATTGCAGGCGATAGAAGCAGGGAAGCCGAGCGAGCGGACGGTGCCTATCTCGCAGAGTGGCAAGCCAGCCATCGACCATTGATAGGCCATCATGTTTCTGCCTGGCGATGTCCTTGCCCTTGTCCATGGAATCCGGTAACCATGGCCGAGGTATTTACTCATTCTTTCTCATGAAAATCTCGGTGCTTTTCTCTCTTACCTCATTGCCTCCCTTATCTCTTTCATCTCTTCTAATGCCTGTGATTCTCGCGAATAAATCTAAAAAAATCTCATTTCATTTGTGAGGAGTACCTGTCGTCTCTCGGTGGTAGTCCATTCCAACGGCAGGCATTCCAAAGTTATCACTCCCCTTGAGAAATATACCACAGGCGTCAAAACACGCGTCTGTCATGATTTTGAACGGATATTGCGTGAGTACCTACTCAAATCCCTCCTGAATGGGACATTCAGGAGAGAATTGAGTATATACTGATATTAATCGGTACCACAGAATCACGTGAATAAAGGCGACTGGACAAAGATGTTGGCGTAGATGGACACCTCGAACCGTAACTGGGTGTGGCGCTGTGTTCTTGGAAATGCAGAACATGCCGAATAGGATAGAGGCATCCGTATGGGGATATCATTATGCGTATGGCTTCCGTTGAGATTCCGGTACCTTAACCTTAACCGGACGCAGACTGTTGTCGCCGGATACGTGTTAGTTAGGTAATTTTAGTTAGTAGTTCCAGTGGATAGGGCGAGAAGCAGCCGGAACGAGTTGCGACAAGAAAGCATGCTTTCTAATTCCATGCCCTTGTTTGTCGTGGCATGACTCCAACCTAGCTGCTGATGTATGATACTTCACTTCCTCTCCATTCTTCACACTCAACCTCACTTTCGAAGAAAGTTGAGAGTTGCTTATGTAGACCCAGGCGCGCCAAGTTTCTTGACGTTGGGAGGCGAAGAACGAAATGTTTTTCACAGGCATCCCCCCCCGTCAGTGCACCTATGACAATGGATACCCAACAAGATACAAAGCCACAAACTAAGTTGCGCTATATATTTCTTACTTTCAGTTTTGTTAACTATGCATTGCAACAGTTGAACTCGGTTCGGTTCCTTATTGTTACCATACGAACGGGAACGGGACCACTCCCTTTCGGGTGTCCTTTCCACAAAGTGCAATTTCCTCTTATTGGCAGTATTTTTGGGCTTGGGACTTGGGGTGGCAGAAAAGCATTCTAAGGATTGTATACACCGTTGCGTCAAATGTCAAGTGTCGTTGCATGGGATCCGAAGCGGATTGCCTCTCCCAGTAGATCTATCTTCCTTCGTGCCTCTTCCTTCCCATTAATATCAATTTTATTCGTTACTGCACGAGACAATTTACAATCGCAAGAAACTTCATGAAATTTAATCTCAACAGTTACGAGTTTGTTTTTAATGTACGAGTAGTTTCCAGGACAAAGTACTCCGCAAGGTTTTTTTTCCTCACTATTTTCTCATCATCCTTTTGAACCGCACAGTGGCACTTGTCAAATGGCTGGCTGGTGAGCGTAGGCATCCTGAATTTCAAGCATCACAGTTCACTTTTCAATCAGGCAGGATGATTCAAAAGTTGTTTTGTCCAAAACCGAAAGAGATTCTTGCAAATTAAATACATCATTCATCAGGGCACTTGTGGGATTTTTTTTTGTGCATATGGGAAATCAACTTTCCAACCTTCACTACGATTCCACATGCGCACCACCAATTTCAATGCGCTTAAGTCACCTGCGAACAACATCATTCGAAAATTCGGGCAACATCTCTTATGAAATTCCCTGCATTTAAGTCCTGATGGGTTCTTCCAAATCTGAGACATTATTTTTGTTGTCTGATTTTACATACCTTCACAGAAAGAAATAGACAGGGAAATAGTCAGGAGACCCAAGGAGTCCCCGGAGTTGGACCATTGTTGAATCGACGGGGCTTTAATTGAGGAATGGTGAACGTCTGGAGCATCTGTCAACATTGAAATATCATGTCAATAGTGAAAATGATCATATCCATGATAATTTTCACTATTGACACAGCGTTTGTCCGTCATTGTATGGCGCCAAACGTTCAGTTTGGGCGTATTGCGCTCATGCTCACGGAACACTTTTGGATTCTCAAGTCCCCAGGCTTGACAATTGTGTGTTACCTTTCCCAGAGATGAAATGTCACCTCGTCGCTAATGTCGATGACGTCCGAAAGGGATGGATTGCGCTCGAAATTATGAAGGAACGTCTCACACCGGTCGTGATCCTCGTCCCGTAATGCACCATCTGGATCATGCATGGTTTCATTTTAATGTCTTTTCGGAGCATTCGCCGAATGGAAGAGTAGCTCACGTCCAATTCCAAAGGAGCTCCTCTGATGAACTGGCGACGAAAGGCGTCCTCGACCACCTGCTGGTTCTCTCTCTCGTTCGAGCTTCTTGGAGTCCGTCCGCCGCTTGGCCTGTCCCGTGACTGAGCCAGTCCCCTAAAAAAAAATTGTGTCTCGTATGGTTTTGGCATCGGAGGCGTCGCGAACTTCGGAATGCCTTCGGGATTTAAGGCCGCACAAGTCACCGAACCAAATTTGTCCATCCGAATGGCTATTTTACATCACTGCAAAACCGAGTTGCCTTCTGCCATTCTAAGCTCAAACTGGAAGCTTGGTGTTGAAAAAAGTTTCCCACTACTTGACCCACGCGAGCAAATTAGACCGAAAAAAAGATTCAAAACCTACAGAAATATGAAGAATCACTTTTGAATATCCCCGTTGTTTTGTTTCATCAGCCAAAAACAGAGAAAGTTTGTGTTTAGAGAGTTTGAAAATTGATGACGCAAAATTTGTTTTGGCACCGACTTAAGCAACAGTGAACTCTGCTTGCATCTTGCCAAAACATGTCCGCAGGCCAATGTTCATAGCCATGAAGGAATTCTTGGAACTACAGCTGGACAGGTCAGAACTGAGTCAATTTTTTCTTGGCAGGCATATAAACACGAAAAGCAAGAGAAATAGCCTGGAGCGTTTCGACCCTGATTCGAAATCTCACCCGGCTGTTAATCGCGCCGTCTCATCGAGAACGGCGGCGACGGGGGACGTGGAACCCAACCCCGACGCCCTCCATTCTCTTCCCCCCCTCCCCAGGGGGAACCCGACCCTGCCCGGTGCATCCTTGTCGGCCGGGAGGGAGAGAGGAAAACTTGTTCTTGGCATCGCCTGATGCTTTTCGCCTGCGTCTCTCCTGATCCTTTCACTTTCTCCGTCAGTATGTATTTTTTTTTTTTACGCTTGTTGCCGTGTCCGACGTCCTCGATGACTATACATGCCATGGAGCAGCGGTTCCCAGACTATGTCTCAAGAAGTCTCGTTTTCATAAAATTTGAGAAACGCACATCGGGAGAGACTCCGCCTCGAGTCGACCGTCAACGCCGAGACCAGCCGCCGCATTCGTCTCACTGGGCCCCGAATCAAAACGACAGCGTAGAAGTCAGTGAGTATTTTTACACTTTTTTTTATGTTTTCGTTTCTCATCCTGATCACCAGTGGCTTGCGGAAATTCTCAGTAATTGCCAAGTCGGTCCCGAAACCAAAAGAGTGTGGAAACCGCTGCAACAGAGCTCGTATGATCAAGTTTTAAGTCCCGACACGACAGCCTCTTTGAGATCGGTGCAACCAGTTCCTACTGTGATTTTCGATTGTTTTTGCCCCCCCAATCGCTTACACTTCGGTCACTGATTTACCCAGGAGCACTTATTTTTGAGACAGCAGATTTCGCTCAGTTGACAGAGTAGCGGTGGCGGTGGCCATGGCCGACGATCAGCCCCACATTCTGTAGGGCAGCCACGAATTTCAATTGTCTGTCCCCCACCCACAAAACAAGAAGGAAAAAAGTAATAAAAATGTACATCCTTTTTTTTATTGTATTTTTTTCTTTCTACCCCGGCCCCCCCCCCCGCTGGTCAACTGCACGTGTCCGGCATTCCGATCTCACCAACTTGGGTCTCCCCGGGGGCTCCTCGTCCGCGTTCCGCCAATCTGTCCACCCTCGGTCCTCATCAAAGACTGCCCTCGAATCGTTTTGTCCTGCGATTGGGGCGCAACTCCAGACGACTTCAGGCTTTTTAACACCTCGGATCGAATCGAGGTCGACCCACCGAAGACGAAGTCGTGAAAATCCACCTTTGGCGAGAAATTTTCATCGGAGGAATAGGCAAGCACGTCATCCCCGAAAATATTTGAAATGAGTTCTTTAGTCGTCAATTTCTTGAAATAATAACTTTTTTTTTTTACTTGCCAAAAAAGAAACTCTATAATCCCCCCCAATCGTGACATGTGAGACGGCATCCAGAGACACACGAGAGCATCAGGCCGTTTCTGTCAGATACATAAAATACATCAAATATGCAGGCGTGGGGTAGAACGACCGAGGTTCGGACACTGTTGCAAACCATGATACAAAACCAAGCATTCGCCTTTCCGCCTTCAGAAGGAAAAGCGGTGGTCATCATGACTTTGCACGATTCCAAGATATTGAGCCAATGCTATGTCGCGAAAAGGAGGAATTCTTCGCGAAACCTCAAGGAAAGAACCCCACCTTCAAAACGTTTCACACGTGACAGTTGTTTTCTGCGCTCAATTCTTACCATGCATCGATCAGATCGTCGTCTTACTTTCGGCGTGTCCGAACTTGGGTCGAGAAATGTTTGAGAAACTTGAGTTCGGACGTGCGTTCAAGCGCGTCATATCCGCGTAAACACGATGTCCTCTTGAGATAAAGAACCTTTCGAGCTGACGAAAGCCTGGAGCTCTGTCCGGATCTTTCCCGACTGAGACTTCGGACACGCCGTCGTGCGCATGCGCGAAAACTCGAAGCGGTGCCTCCAAGGAGGCAGGCGGCTGGAGTGCGAGCGTCGCCGATCCGAGGCTGCGGCGAGAGGCCGTCGGGTCCTCGCGGACGGCCGGCGACGTCGCTCGCGACGAATGCGAAAGATGAAGTTTCTTCCGGGACCTCCGAATTCGGAGCGGGGATGTGTCTGAAGTTGGATTTTTTTTTTCTTTTGAATTAGGCATGCAGTGAAATACTTGTCTACCGAATGTAACAAATTTTGTCTGCCCGGTCTGCTTCGAAAGAAGTTTCGGAAACAGGATCAAAATGAAGAATGTGCACCCAAGGGATTTTACCACAAGAGTAGGATTTTCCCCGAAATTAGCGACTGGAGAGAGCAACCCACGTACCAAATTCCAGGTTTCTATATTCTATATATGTATGTTCTATTTCTATATTCAGCGTAGCAAAACATATTCAAAATATGGTTCCCCCAGAACGTACCCCCAGAAAATGTCTCCCAAAAGCAGGATTTTCCCTCATTATTGCATACCAGCAGGTACCTATTTAGTAAGGTTTTAGCCTTTTGTCTCCACGATTCCCTGGAACTGAATACTTTTTATTATTATTATTGTTATTTTATTATATTTTTTTTTTTTGGGGGGGGGGGGGGGGGGGGGAATATAGAAACCTGGAATTTGGTACGTGGGTTGCTCTCTCCAGTCGCTAATTTCGGGGAAAATCCTACTCTTGTGGTAAAATCCCTTGGGTGGGAGGTTCATATGCCCCTGGGAACGAATCCTAAAAGTGGCTCTTTTTCCCCCCTGAAAACTGCATCTCGGTAGGTACCGATGCACCAAGTTTCAGCTTCTATGTCTCTCCGTTTTGTTGGAGAAAAAAAAAGTACCTGAAATCGGAACCGTCAGAGTTATTCGTGTACCAAGTTCGAACTTTCAGTCTCATCTAGAACATGGTTAGAATATTGAAGTCACTCGCTCGATCGTCCCAAGCTAGAAAATCGAGAAGAAAAAAAAGATCCAATACCTTGGGATCAGGTTATCACTCATTTTGCACCAAAGAACGAAGTGTTTCGAGCCTCCTCGAGACTTCAAAACGGGGGGGGGGGGGCGGGGGGGGCGGGGGGGGCGGGGGGGGGGGGGGGGGGGGGGGGGGGGGGGGGGGNGGGGGGGGGGGGGGGGGGGGGGGGGGGGGGGGGGGGGCCGAGGTGAAAGTGTCTCCGAACGAAATTTTCCCCCCACATCCGAGTTCGAACGTCCGCATCGCAGGCAACATGAGGCTCGGGAGGAGAACGCCTTCGCTGCACTCGTGCCTCCTCGTGGCGTGCTCCCAGGAACAAAAAAAAAAGAGGAAGATATAGGACGAGCGAATGATGAAGCTCGGCCAGCTTAACTGTCCGAACGTTGGTGGTTTTACCCTATCAAATACATAAAATATACAGAGGTATGAAATGCCATTCCGCGATAGAAGCTGATGGGAGACGAAGCGCGGCTCCAGTCAAGATCCTAGATATTAGGCTTTTGTGTTTGGTCCCGAGATGGCGACCCTAAAGGCTCCCCGCATTGCCAACAGATGGCTCTGCCTGTCTGCTGTGACTTCTCACCGACGGCACACGAGAAGCCGCGTCTCGCACTCGTTTCAATGCATTTCCTCCTGCAGCGTTCGATGTGCAATCGCAGGATAGCAAAATGTGCACGATCGATTGCTAAAAAAAAATACGCAGTGCAAGCAGGCAAAGGCAACTCCTCCCATTCGACACAACGTTGAGCAAGGATTGGTTTTTCAGCGTAGCAATTTTGCGACAACGTTGCGTAAAAAGGTTGGTTTCGATGTTATCGCATCGTCGAAACGAAACTCAGTTTTACGTTGAAAATACGCCGACGTGTCGCGTTGTATCAGCGTGGAATCGTCGGCGTCTTGGCCTCGCCTTCTCTTCCTCATATCGAAGATGCGATCGACACGAGATCGACCTCATGCCATCGGAACCTTCTACCTCTGAGACTTGAAAGTACTCTAGAAAGTACCGCCAAGTACTATAGCAAGTACTGCGGTCGAGTCCACTTCCTTTAATGGATCAGACTCTAAGATGAGTTCTTGAGTCCAGCGATGGAGTTGCGCGTCTGGCATCATGTCCAGATCTGCCTTCCTTATGGGATGGAAGGATAGAGAGATCCTTCTTCATGGGAAGGAAGATGGGGCACGCCTGAGATTGGTAACCCGCTTTTTAAGGTTCGTTGTTTTGGAGACCATTTTTTTTTTATCCCAGGGAGAGATTACGCAATCGACGCGTGAATACCAAAATATCCTGTTTTATATTGCCAGGTTTATTTTTTAAAATGTGCAACATTCAGTTTTGCATATAAACTTTTCAAATCTGCATCATCCTTGACTGAGAAAAATATGGCTTCAGGGTAGAAACAAAGCATGCATTTCCATTTAAAAAAAATCCCAGTCCCCCCTTACCACCGATCAGAAGAGACAGAAGCCGTCGCGTCGGAGCGAGAGAGAGACCTCCACTCGTCTCCGTTCTCTCCGCCGAGTCATCCCCGCCGCCAGGTCTGAAGAGCGTTCGGTGGAGCTCCCGCATTGGTGGAAAAACGCCGGGCCTGACGTCATCCGTCGCATGACCCCGCCCCACTCTCCTTTCTTTGCCTTAGTTCGCCTTTCGGCACGGCCAAGGAACCGTCCACAAGCCCCTTTTTTTTTCGTCCCTGCTCTCTATTTCTGATTTCATTTCCTTTCCTCCGATGCACAGGCCGACCTAGAGTAAGTGTTATTGAACTGCTGTTAAAGTATTAATGGACGTGGTCGCAATGCACTTGTATGCAATGTTATTGTAGTCCTTAAATGGCGTCAAAAGTGCTTAAGTATCCAAAACACCCAGACTGATCAAGAAAAACGACCAGAACCAATTTCAATCAATGAAGTACCAGTGAACTCGACTCGTTCGCTTGCTCTCGCAGCGTGCCCTTTGAAGTCTCAATTACCGATCAGGCACATCACTAACGTTATCCGTTCAAACCACAATGACTAATCCAGAATAAAAACTCAAGGACCGACTCGGCAGTGACGTCGGCCTCGTCTCATCATGCATTCTGCTTTCCTTTTTGGCCTTTTTTTGCTTTTTGGCGGGATCCAGAGCTGATCTAATGCTGGAAGCACTCAACCGTACTTATTATCACAGACGTACAGACCGATCACATTATTCGTTACACATGAATTACACATTGCTCGTTGCTTTGGAGGACTTTTCTTGAGACGACTCTGCGCTTTTTTTCAGGGGTCTTGAGCACCGTCTTTAGTAAAAAAAAGTACTATAAAGTACTTACAATCGGATTCGCAAAAAATTCGAATCTCGCACTTTCTTGACGTAACAATCATGAGTTTGCAGCGGCGCCAAATCTCAAATTCGTAGAGATCAGGAAAAAGAAATCGAGATGCCGGCTTCTTCCCTCGTCCCTTTTAGCATTTCAGAAATCTTCATTTTTCCTCTTGAAATCGGGAACTAAACTAGCAATGGACTTGCCTCTTGAAGGCGTGACGAAAAAAAAAGGCTCGTTACGCGATGGATTGCTATTTTCGGAGCCAAACTTTTCTTTATCGGCCCGAGATCGGATTTTTTTTTCGCTTTCCGGCAAAATCAAGACGACTTTTCCAATAAACTTCTATGAAGATTTGAGCACCAAAATTCAATACTGCACATAAGGTTTTTTTTTTTCTTTTCAAAAATGTTCGTTTGTTACGCAAAATTCTTTGGTAAATTCTTGTGTTTTTGTTGAGCACCGAAAATTTCAGAAAGTTATCGGAAGTTGTGCGAAGAAACTTACCAAGAAATTCCGAGACAGAATGGGGTCAAATTAGAGGTTTTTTTTTTATTCTATCGAAAATTTTGAATGGAAAGATCACAGCAAATTTATATTTAATTTATATTTGAGTGCCTATCGTCTCTTGCGTGATTCCCTTTCACCAGGAATTGTGAGAGGGAGAGATTGTCTGTGACACATGCTCCTGACTTTTTTATTATTCATTAATATTAATATTTTCTTATTAATAAAGATTATTATATAAATAATAAATATGGTGTATTATACCATTCCAAATAAGTCCAAGTGGCGGAGGGGACGATCCCTTCCATCCTTCGCCGATCGCCCTATCGAAACTCCTACGTGAGTCGTCATGTTTTTTTAAATCCTAAATCGGGGGGAACCAAGAGAATTTCCATCCGTGAGGAAATCGTCGTGATCGGTGCGCGGAGTTTCGAGTATGAACGAGGAAAGAGAGGGGCAATATCCATTAGAGCTCGGAATGGTGTATTAATATATTTTACTTCGCTACTTCACTCTCGTGTTAATGACATCATGACATCCGTGGCCTTCCAGAGATCCACGTCATCCAGATGGCGAACCTTTGCCCTTCCAGGCGAAGGGGAAACTAGTTCGATGCCCGGATTCCATTGGTTTCTGCAAATGATGTGAGCGTTGCACATGAGTGAGGGCGGGGCGATTCCGGAGAAGATTTCTTCATCTGTCTCACGAATCGGCCGAGTGTTCATCTCGTGAATACATGTTAATGTCTTCACGTCACGTGACACGAAAGGAAGAAACGGGAGAAGAGATTCTGGCCAGGTGAGCTTGACACGAGACGAAAAAAAAAATGAGGGAACGAGAAGGAAGCGATGCGAAACGATCGGAAGGGAAAACGCGAAGGGACGGAGATGCAAAAGGAGGAGAGAAAAGACCAGGCGATCGGACCAATGAGTCCGATGGCAACTGCCTCGCTTTGGAGTATTCCATCTCCATGATGGTGATGGCTCTAAAAAAAATTAATGGAGTTGGGAAATAATTTGTGCCAGATTCTGTGAAATATAACGCCATTGCAAGAAAAAACAGCACTCTCCCCAAGCTTGAGTGGATTTTGCTCTCTCTTTCCTCGTTCATCGCTCAAAATTCCGCGCATCGATCACGATGGTTTCTTCGTGGTTGGAAAGTCTCTTAGTTCCCCTTGTTTTAAAATGCAATACATGACGACTCGTATGGAGTTTCGAAACAGCGATCAAGGAAAGATGGAAGGGATTGTCCCATCCGCTACCTCTCCGCCGCTCAGTTTCTCTTTTTTTTTGGAATGGTGTATTACAAATCGTTCGACATTTAATTATGCATTCTGGGGGTAAGTCCTTCTAGTTAGTAAGCATGAAAAAAAAATTTGGACTAGAGTCTTGCTAGCAAACAACCGATCTGCAGCTAGGTTCTGGGATCCAGGATCTCGCCACTCAGCTGTTCAAGCCTTTGGCTAATTCATCAAGATCAAGTTAGGCATTTTCACTTTCTCACATTCGGCAGCTGGCATCATGTGGCCAGTCCTCAAAGCCCTTGAGTGAGTAACCACGTAAGCATGTAAACGGAGGTGGTTTCACAGACCTTTATTAACCGGTTCATCATAATAATGAATGAATGAATGAAAGAACAATAGAACGAGTTGGGACAAGTAAGAGAAGGTATCACAGGCGAGGGGGGAGGGAGACTGGGAGAGGAAAATCCAACTCTAAGCGTGTCACCAACCACAGATGATGTAAATTGCCAGACTGAGCTCCCATAATGACCTTGATCCTTCGCAACAGGGCCACATTTGGAGGATCGTCAGCCCGGATTTGCATCATCTTGGCTCTTTACCGTGCCTTGGCACAGAAAAGCACCCTTGCATTTCTCTCCATCATACCAGAAAAAGGGTCTCCCTCTCCACCAAAACATCCAGACAAAATTGCATACCCCGCCCTACAGGTAAAACGAAGGCTCAAACGAGGATGCAACTCAACAAGGGGGTAACAAGGAAGCCTCATGCCCAAGGCCTTGATAGACTTAGGATGGGTCGCCTTCGAAATTGGCATGCAGGAAGGGTCAAATTTGATGCCCAGTACTATCAGTACCACGGAGAGGAGCACTTTTCATCTTTACCTTGGTCTATTCTCACTATATGGCACAAAGGTCAACTCTCACTGGATTAAAATAAGAAATATGGTGACCAAGTTGAAATAAAAGAGCTCAAAGCATTGCAATCCGTTGAAATAAAGTATCGATACTTATGGAGGAAATTTTGTCTCGAAAGTAACTCAAAAAAGGGTCATGTGTTTCCAAATAGGGATGATTCGTCAGGCCCTGTTCGTCAGCTTATAGTGCCGAGCTAGTGAGAATATCGAAAGTTATCGAGAAAGTACAGTACCAAAGGAGCAAATGTGCTTTCGGCAAAGGAAACCACGAAGAGAAATTAATCTGGTAACACTAAAAATGGAAGAGATATAAGAATACACGATATGAGATTTCGGAGATCCATCAACAGCGGATGGATGAAGAAATAGAGACCGAGACACCCACAAATATCAAAGAATGAAAGACAAAACTTGGAACAATGTAGAACCACATCAAATAAAAAATAGTGGGGAGGGGGAGTGGAAATGGGGAAAGAAGAGGGAGGAAAGATGAGGGAATGAGAAAATTGAAGCGTTTCACCGTGATCCCATTTGGAGGCATGGAAAGGGGGAGTGGAGGAAGAAGAGAGAAGTCGTGTCAGCACGGCTGGCTTCAAATTCGTAGTTCGGTTAAGGTCCAATTTTAATTTAACTGCAGTCGTGCTTCTTTAGTCGTAACAGTCGAGTAGAACTGCAACAGAACGTGCGAAGTGGAGTCCTCAGCTGACTTTAGTTCGACGTTTAGGCACGTAAGCAATGCCACGGAAAACTGTTAAAATATTCGTTCCACCAAGGTAGGGCTGTAGAATAGCTATGAGCCCAATCAAGGTCTCTCATTTGTTTATGATGGAACTGACTCAGATGTAATTGCTATGTGTATACTACGAAAGGGTTTCTCGTGAGTAAACTGCAGCTGTGGCAGAATTACGATCGAACTGCGACTCTGAAGCCAGCCTTGGAATGAAGTTTTTCTCTTTTCCTTGTATTCGTGTGTCTCAGTTGCGTTCAGTCCCCGGTACTCTCCTCTTCGGGGTCGGTGGATTCGGAGACGCAGTAGATGTCGTTGGAGTCCCTGCGGAACGGTGGGAGGGGGGAGGAGGTGCAACTCCGGCTTCCCCCCAGCCCCAGTCCCATCCCCCGATTCTCGTCGATGGCCAGGAATCCGTGGCCGTGGTGGATGTTGCGGTCCGTATTCCGAGCGACCGTGGCAGTCGTAGAGCCTCGATGCCTATCCGTAGTCACCGGGATGCCCCCCGTGAGACTCGTCAACGGGATCTTATACAAGCGGAGCGGCTTCGCCTCCTGAGGACCTGCTCGGGAGTAGAAAAAACAACTCATGCAACGTTTCTGAATCTCGTTCGCTCTCGAACGCGAAGGGAAGGAACTCTAGCTTTACTCGAGGAGTGAGGAGACGCGGGGGGAGAGAGGCTGTTTTCTCGGTCACTTCGGTCCGACATGAGCTTCTCCCCCCAATCGGGGAAGAACTCCGGTGCCGTCGTCGCATAGTAGATGTCAACCTAAAAAAAAAAATTATTAAAAAAATTCCAGTGGATTTATTTGCACAGTAACAGTGCCGCTTCCACGATGAATCCAACGACAAGAAAGAATCGGTGTCTACCTTTGACGTGATGAACCTGAGTTTGGGAAGAGTGCTCGTCTGTATGAGGTTCCCGTTGATGATGAGTCTGATTTCTATGTTGTCTTCGCTGAAGGACATTATATAGGGGAAGGCACATACTGAAAAGATCAAAATCCGTCATGTGAGTCATTTCTATCATACACATATGTTTACGGTGCTATTGCATCAGAAACTGAAACCTTACCTATGTACTCAGGAACAGCAGTCCATTGAAAATCGAAGTCCGTTTTCGGGATATCAACGGGGGCATTGAGTCTCTGAAAGTGGCACGTGTCTGGAGGGAGAGGAAGGGCTGGAGGAAGTCGCAAATAATTGAACATCAATGAAAAAGCGGGGGAAAACTCACGATTATAGCAAAGCAAGAGTTCAGGTTCCTCGTCCTCGTAGACATCGACGGCAGCGACGAGATTCACCTTGTTCCCATCTACAGAATACAGATGCTCCGGTTCCCCGAGTCGTTCATCGATCAGGTCGAACTGGTGTCGATAACCGACGCAGATGTTGTTGTCTCGGCTCCCTCCTCCTGTGTTCACAGGCGAGGAAGAGCCGTCCACCATCGTCACGATTTGGGGGACTTCTGGCAGCAGGATTTCCTGCACGCCAAAGCAGCACATACAATCAAGTCCTCGAACGATATCAGACCAGCTCCTATGCTTGAGCTTTGTTTTCAACTTTTTTATGTGAGAGCTTAGGGTTCTTCATACGCTTACCTTGAGAAACTGGAAGCCTTCAACAGTATCATTATCACTGGCGGGGCACCAAGCAGTCCAGGCAGCTGAATGCCTCCACTGCATCAGCATTATTTTCTTTCCCACGGCCACCGCCTAAAAGAAAGTTATTAAAGCAGTCGCGAAAAGAAAAAGCCTACAAAAAAAAAACTTTTTTTTTTACACGAAAATGGTTGTCCCTATTATGACACACTCGGAATGTGCCAAAAGGTATGTCGAATATTATAATATGAAAACAAAGTGTGTCCAAATGACCATACAGTACAAAATGCGTCACTTCGAGACCAAAAGTTTTGCGTGCGGCAGCAGTCTATTTCGAATGGAACGCTAGTTGACATCAGGTCAATGTCGTTAGTTGACCTCAGGTTATAACCTGATGTCAACTAACGACATTCGGCTACTCTGCGCAGCATGTCGAAATAATGCAGTTCACAGAGACCTTTCGACAAATAAAAGTACGTATCAGAAATTCGACACACCTTTTGGCACATCCCAAGAGTGTCATAATAGGGGCAAAAAAGTTTTGCGTATCCTCTGGCAAATACTGTACTCTGCAAATCATTTTCTCCCAGCTGATGTGGTACTCCCAGGCCAGTTTTACGCGAAATTCTGACAAATGCTGACAAGGGAATCCAAGATTACAGGAAGGAGACTTTCAACAAGTCCATGGTGAGCACCACGATCGCAGGATCCATGGATTGAATAATCGACAAGCAAAGTTTGGGTAGGAGTAGGTCATTGACGAGCAATACCATTCGAAGATGAGCACCGCCCGGTCGGGAAAGGGCATACAGATGACACCCTTTCGTTTTCTCGAGCCGGTGATCACGGATTTCGTTTTTTCCTCGAGGTTCTCCATTCTCTCGTTCGAAGTCCGACAGTCGAAAGACGTGTATCTTGCTGTCTCGCCCTGCGATCGACGCCACGACCACTTCAGCATGCATCTCAATTCCCTTCTCCCCCCTCAGAATGCAACGGGGACAGACCTTTTTCGGATCGGAAGAGGAGAATCCCATGGTCCTCGACCACACTCAGCTGCTTCACCTGCACCGTCTTGTCGAAGACGAGGCGATGCGAGTTCCCCTCTGAGAAAAGGGGAGAAAGAAGGATGATCTCTGACCCGGACAAGGAACGTCCGTATCTGCGTGGGAGGGAATCTACCTTCGACCAAGTAGACCCCGTTATCCGCGGCGAGGAACAGACGATTGTCGCCCCAAGAATCCCCGCACGATACGTCGCAAGGGAAGTCGGGGTAGAAGCAGATCGGCTCCCACGGCTGCAACGAAAACGAACGGTTTCGGTCGAGGTGGAATGGTACGGCCGCACACCATAATTCCAGAGAACAGGATGAATAGGAGAAGCTCCGATTCCAGAATTCCAGGCGTCCCCGGACGCCTGGAATTCCCAGGAATGGATCATTCCTCAGCTCGCCACTCAGACAAATGCGTATTCACAGAACTTCCGAAGAAAAAACAACCTCATTTGCCACGCTGGGATAAGATATAGACAATAATAAATTTTTAACTGCGTGCTTGTTTCAGATAGAGAGATGAAGAATGGCACAGGCAATGTCTCCGAGAAAGGGTGAAACGGGTGATGATAAGTATGACTGCCGGGTATCCTTCATACTGGCACATCATAAGACGGCCTCATCCTTGCAAATCTCCCCGCATGCGGAGTTTTTTGAGCATACTCAAATACTCTTCAGGGGAGATTCCAGGGCAGTCGTTGATAAATCTTCCCGGTATTGATTTGAATTCTGCCTGCCTCAAACATGATAAGCCTGCCTGGTGATCAACGCCCAAAGTGTTCTACTCGACGTTTTCATGGTAATTCAAGAAGGTCCCAAGTTTGATTGCCTGTAGCCTCCAAAGTGATGGGAACTCGGGAAACCTGTTTTTGTTTTTCATTTCATTCAAAATAAAATGTGGCGCTGCATGTAATCAACGGTCGGACTCGAACTGTGTCCCACAACCCCCCGCCCCCCCCCCCGGGACGTGCATGAATTCGCGGCATCGCTTTGAAAAGTCTTCAACTGTTTAACTGAACTGCCGCGCAGGCGGTGGCTCATCGATGGCCGTCTCACGCCAACCCGCAGACGCCCGCGAGATTCAAGCAAGCAACGCTGGGAACAATTCGAGGAGCTTCATCCAACCAAACCCGGGGAGACCTTTTTGAATTACCTCGTTCTATACGTCGAGTAGAGCATTTACCCAGCATATGCAATGGTCATCATTTAATCATTATTTATTCATGGTGACGTCATTGCACGTTCCTTTCCCCCCCCCCCTTCTCTCTCTCCTGAATATGCGCCTTAGAGGGTAAGAAATTCCGAGATGTCCGGATATTCTCCTGACATGAATTTATCATTTCTTTCATTCTTCCGTTGTCTTGTGACCTATTTCCGTCCGGGTGCAGGAAATGATGGATTTTCGCTTCTCCATCATCACGGCACTCACCACCACCAATCTCTGCATTGCATTCCCCGCCGCAGCTGGAAAAGGGGAATGCACACCCCAGGGCAAGGCGCTCGAACGAGGCATCAGTCCGCTCCCGTGCAAACGCAAAAGCAGGCCATCGCAAATGATGGACTTCTCGTGCACCAAAGAAAATCTCTCTGAAGATCAGAACCGGCGCCGGCATGCGATATGGCTTGCAGAGAGACGCATGGGCATCATTTCACGCCATTTCCCTCCTCCTCCCCACCCCCTTGCTGTATAAAATATCTGTGAGATCATTTGAGAGAACGGAAAGCTTCGCACTTCCGTTCTCTCCGTTTCAATGCACCCTTATACATCTTGCAGGCATCGCATTCAAATGGCCCCAACCCAGCTATAAAGAAGGACGTCGAAAAGTCGTCTCTCTTCATGCTAAGGCACGATTTCTCGAAGGCAGACTGGTCCAAGGACTCACGCGACCGCAGACATTCTGCCTGTGATCAACGAATGCCAGACGAGGAGAAGGCGCGATAAATGAGGAAGGAAACAGCGGAAGTGAGAAAAGGGGAATGAAAGCGACATAATCTTCACGATTTAGTTGTCGTCAGGCGATTCCAGTCCGTCAACCGCTCGGATGAAAATATTCCTACCCCCAAGTCGCAGGCATGAACGACGTCAACGCTTCTTTATATGCCAAGGGTTACCATAGAGCCCACAAAGACCCCATGAATTATCCATGCTCCATCATCCATGTCATCCAGAATGCGAAGCCACGCCCCCTGAGAGGAAAGAGCCGAACCTCGGAGGACGGCTCCCCCGTTGCCTCGAGTGAAACAAGAGGAGAGAGGACGAGGACGGCGGATGGCAATTAAATCGATGGCCGGCCGTCATTGCCCTCCTTGCCATGCATCACTCTTGACTTACAGCTCTCTTGAGGAGTCCACTAGTGGCAAGGCTCGTCGGAGCGTCGCCTTTCACGATCGTATCCAGCTTGAGAGCCTGACCGATGCGGACGAACTCCACTCGCCGAGCCTCTTCCTTCCTCCTGCCCGATCGCGGCGGATCAGGCAATACGTCGCTGAATGCCCGCCGATTCAACATGGTCTGCGGGGTATCAAAACGCATTAGATAAAAGCGATAATAATGTAGGAAAATAATATCCAATCCAATTCATTACGTATCTGCACCAAATACATACTGTCAAGGTTTAGGGTATCTTTTTTAAATACAATTTTGAATGTAAAAAAATGACATAAGACTTTGAGGCTATGGAACCTTCGACGATGGTGAAAAATAATATGTCTAGAAGAATCCCGTGAGATTTTAAATTTAATTTCAAGCAGTCTATGGACCTCTGCATAATGGTCCTGGTGTAGACAGGATGCTTACACTGCGGTTCTCGGCCATGTGTTCGGCATAGAGATCCTTGATGAGCATGTCCAAGGTCCTCTCTCGCTTCTGAGCGAAGGTTGGCGTGTTGAACGCTGCTTTCTCTCCGTTGATCACTGGGTGCAGAGAGAGATAAAGAACAAAAATTGAGATGCTTCCCACCTGTCAAGGTACAGCTGCATTTTTTTGAGTGGGTTGAGAGAGCTGCATCGATACGAGGTCTGCGAGGGTCTCGCTGCTCGTCATTATGACTGGGTCGAACAACTGGCCCCGTTCCCAGCTGAGACAACTGGGATCCCTATTGTGCCTGGTGCCTCAATGCGCACTATGTGTTTAGAGGCAATACATGCAATGGGCACGAGAATAATATAACGTTTCGCCAGCTGACGGGGAACACGAGGGGAGTGCTAAAAAAAAAGGCAATGGGACGTCATCGGGAGATTTCAAAGGCGCAAAAAAAGACGAGAAAATGCATGAGAAGTGTTCTCATCTCGGTTTCGAAACAATATAGACAAGTCGTAACCATGTAGGTTTCTGGTAATCGATGGTTTATCATCGATCCACTCTTTTCCTACCCCCTTTCCCTTTCCGGGACATTTTCTCTCTCCCTCTTTCCTTCCTCTCCCTCAATCGACTGATTCATGGAAACTTAATTGGGAGCGAGATGACATGGCTTGCACCCTGGCTGTCTCTGACAAGATATATCAGGTGGAAAAGCGAGGAGAGAGCGAGAGAGAAAAAATGCGAGGCTTCCTTTTATACAGCCGTTCATCACTCGGAACGGGACGGAAATATGATTCCCCGGCGGACAGACGATAAATCACAAAAACGGATGAATGAGAGACAAACAAGCTTACGTTTAACCAGAAGAAACTCCCGGAACTCTTGAGGATCCCGGAAGGTGGAAGGGCAGGGTAAGGTGGGGCCGAACAAGGGAACGGACTCCTCCGAATAAACGTAGAGCCGGTATTGGCCTTCTTCCTTTTGGAAGCAGACCAGGGCGAAGATGTCTGTGATCATATCGAGTTAAGGGCTCAGACTGGCGTATCCTCACGAGGAAATACCCGTTGATTTGCATATATATTTCCTTCCCTGTTCTCCAGGAGGAGACACAATCGGATGGTGAACCTGATAAGTTTGATGAGAGAGGGAAAGGGTAAAGCGAGCTTCCTATGCTATACACTGAACCAAGAGGGTGCCATCCGAGATGAGGGGAGAGGCGTAATCAATAGAAGTAAAGAAGCGGGAGGAATGGGGAAGCGGCATTAAATTATCTCTCACTCGTGAATGAAAAAGGAAAAGGATACGAGTGAAATGAGATTTCATCCAGGATGGATTGAAGGAATTCATGTCCTCTACTTCCCCGTCGAGGAACACTATGTTCACGATGTCGTTCCCGATATGCCTCTTCCGTTCCACCTGCAATGGGTGAAACACGCTTCATCAATACACTGAACCTCTGGGTGACCTCACTATTGATCGGCGCGATTATAACTTTTTTTTTCCTGCGCCCCTCCTCTAAGAACAGACCACTTCATCGCGCCCCACTTCCCGATTAACAAACGGAGGCGGTACATTGTGAGCAATTTCCCCGTTTCTTTCGCTTGTACTTGTTCCTTTCCTCCTTTACTACCGTCACGTTTTGTCACTTAGCACGATGTATTGCTTCTCCCAAATTGAAAACCGCTGCTCTAGGAAAGGAATCCATCGTGCAATCGATGAGGGGATCGAGGATTCGATGTGAATCAGCAAGGGACGTCGTGCCCCATGAAAGTAAAGGCTGGAGATGAATCTTCCGACTGCTGTTTGCTCAGTCCAGGGGAATGTTTGCCCTGAGTGTGCCCAGGTAATGACATGGGCTCTCTTCGGGACACCCGCGTGATTAAATTAACGTAAATGGGCCACTCTATCTCTGTTTTATCCCTCCATCAGTCTCCCACTCATCCATCCCTATTCGATGAGGCCATCCCTATTCTATGAGGTCATCCCTATTCGATGAGGCCATCCCTCCAGATATTGTAAGAAACCTCGTATTAACGTTATAAAAACATTGCAGGTCACACCTCTTGCAACTTAAGCGACGGGGCTGTTCTGGTATGCCGTATGCACATCTCTGTTCGCAGCACGCACATTTCCCTTCCTCCAGGATCCTCTCGTGATGAGGTTCTCTTCTCCTTCCTCGGGCTGAGGATTTTGATATTAATTAGTTGGCTCAGCTCCCTTCATCCCATTGACGGAATCTGGGTACGGGCCATCAAGAGAATGAGGATGGATGAACCCAGCCAAACCGACAACATCAATATCCCATCATCCGCTTGGATTAGAAAGGTGGATATTTGTATGGAAAGAAGTCCCAGAGGACGAGAAGGGTGTGGGGAGGGGACGAGATAGGCACTGAATAACTTGGGGGGTTGCCTCCCACGCATCCACCTGTCCTATGTCAGGATCGATTTGAAAGCGGCAAGGAAAGGAAGGTGAGGGAATGACCTGGGACCGCGGAAAGGGGAGGAGTTCACTCTCCTGCACACAGCTCTCCTCTAATACCATGTCCAGGAATTAATATGCCGGAAAGGAGAGGATAGCGGATGAGCTGCAGGAACTAGGTTCCATTTCATCGACTCATAGCCTCATACGGCTTTAGATTCGCCCAGTGTTCTCTTTAGCCGAAGAGCTTCATGTTTCTGGAAGCAATGAGAAACGCACAGATAGCCCCCGTATGACCGTCGCAATGTGTGTCTCGATCTGTCCGGATGGGTTGACCGAGCTTCTCCCCTACACCATTCCATGTAATGACAGTTATATCCATTAAGGGAATCCCCATTCTACGGTGTAATATTTACGGTACATGTGGATATGGGATGGAGGACGAATACTCACTCGAGCCCCTCTCTGGACCCGGAAATGCAGGGAAACGATGAGGGTAACTAGAACACAAGTAAGCGTTCCTTCCGACTCCAAGGTGTGCAGCATTTCCCGACACTCTTGAGTTACAGTGCCTAATTTTCAATCACCGAGGGGTTACTCAGAAGTAAGATCACTTGCCGTGCCTTCAACTCCCGCCCCTGCGAACGCTCTGAGATTTAACGGGCACGCGATCAAAATTTATCAATTCATCTTGCATGAACGGTGACGGAAGCGAGTTTCCCGACAGCTTAAATGGAATGCAGACAGAATAAGCAGCACTTCTGGTCACGTACGTCCACACGCAGGACCGGCCAATTAAAGCCAATTGCATAAATGAGACATGTGGATGAGACATGTATGAGAAGAGGTACGAATGAAAGTTTAATGAGAAAGGAAACGGCAGAGAGATGCTCTAAGCTTATCAGCTTCATGAACCCTTATCAAGCCTAATCGAGTTGCTAGATGTGACGCAACAGTTGGAATATCGGTTTTCGAGATTATCGTCGAAGCCAAAAAAAAATATATATGATCAGTAACACGAGGTAAAAATAAAAAGCTTCTAGAGCTTTTAAAAGGCAAGAAGCAATATGATTTGATTAGATCCACCAGTGGATATCGTTCCATGCCAGAGGTAGAATGATAGATTGTTCTCAATATAGTCATGAGAATCATGTTCGATAGTAAATCCATCATCCTTTCTCACGAAAGTACATTTGCTTCCAAGTCAGGTGCTGGAGGACACTGCTGCAGATCATATACGGTCACTTTCGTGCTGGTTGGATATTCTTGCAAAAAATTATTTCCAGCAGTTTCCAAAACTTGCATGCCACTTATCATCAATACGGAGAACATTCGCGGTTTCCGCCGCGACTCGATACAGACCAGACGTACCTAATTTTGATATTGACGCTCAAACAACGAGTAAGAGGCCATCAGGGCCATGGAGTGAAAGTATCTTGGATAGAGGCGAAAGTAGGCAGGAAATGAGAATGTACATTCTCGATCGATGGGACTGGGGTCATGCAGAACAGAATCAAGGGAGTCATCCATGCAAACCGACAGAAACGGTGAACGTCACAGGAGGTAACTCTAACATAATTATGATATAAACGCAATTACAGATAGAGATGCATTCATACGCACAAACCCATACGCACCCGCAACCATACCCACCCACACGTACGCACAAGGCGCAATTCTGACAATCAATAAAAAAAAAGGGAAGAAAGTAAAAGGAATCCTATTGGGCTGTCGAGAACTGTAAACCGTTATCTCTAAATAAGTTAGGAAGAGCGAAAAAGGAGGGGGAGGGGGGAGGATGACAAGATAAGGGACGTGGAGGATCGATGAGACAGGCCCAGAGTTCAATGGGGATGCGAAAGACCAAGGCGAAAGAATGAGACCGCGAGGAAATCAGATTATGCTTAACTCATTACCTGCTGTCTATTTTCTCGGGTGAAGGGAAGCCACGTGGAGATGTGGAACATGATCTCGTGTCCTTCGTAGATCGTGTGGACGGAGTGCCTCCCCGTCATGTCTCCTGGAATGGAATCCAGACGTCGATGTCCAATTACTGACTCTGTAAACAACTTACTCTTTCCGCCTCAATTATTCTTTTAATCGAATCATGTGACTGGAAGTAATCAGATGTGGTGAATGGAGAGAATGTGGAGCAAAGAAGCAGGACCGAGCAGAAAAGGAAAAGAGGAGCCACTCTTTAATCATCGTAATGGCGAATCCAATTCCCCTTTTGCTGTATAGAAAATTAGCTGCTCCCTTGTTGCCCGTTCATGAAAAATGCACTCCGTTCTCCCACATTCTCATATAGCTTGGCTCATCGTGGAAATACGAAAAAAGGCAGCCGACGAGATTCCTTTATGATAGGGAAACCCGCTTGCTTTTCAGGGGTTGCGGGCAAGGCGAATGCTCAGGCTGCGCATGTCACTCTAAGACTGCGTCTGTGCGCAATCGACCCTGATTATGAATATGGGTTGGAGGGGAAACCTTCGAGGATGAGACTTCATCGAAGGTTCACATCACGTGTCTTGAAGAATGAAGAGAGAGAGAGCAAAGCTTCTGCATGACTCCCTCTGGACCCCTTGAAATCTCCGGAAACATATCAAAAGAGAGCTGATTCTCAGCCTAAGGGCCCCTCTCCAACTTTCCGCATTGCTTTACCACCCAGAGCATAATGATGTTCCCTAGGGCCCACATCGCCTCTTCTCCCCCGTTCTTGTTTTCGAAGTGAGAAGATGAGACATGGAAGGCATGGGGACGGAGAAGGAGAAGCAACCTTTGGGGCTTGTAATGAGGCAATTGAGAAGTTTCTTCTCGCAGTGTATGAGAGTGCCATGATGTATTCATGGATTTGTGCCCCAATATCCATTCTTCGCCGTAGATAGTAGATAGGCCTCCTTACGCATGGGTTTTCCATTACATCCTCCAACAGCGTTATCCGCTGCCCGACATGCCATTGTTTCTCTCCCATCCAATCCTTTCTGCATCGTTTCCTCTTTCATGCATCCTTTCTCCGCCATCATCATATCGTCAAGGGGATATGAAAATATATTTATATGGGTGAGATATTCTCTTCTGTTAGCAGGCAGGAGACCGTAGTAACGAATCTTCGACATCTGGCCAGACCAAGTGTTACATACAATCCTTCCCCCTTGCAGCTGTCGCTTCTAAATACGGCCAGGGGCCTGTCCTGGTGCTCTCTGGTCCTGGTGCTGCAGCTCTTTCCTCCATGAACGCAGGCCGTCTCTCATGGGAAAGAATAATTCAACGGGGAAAGGCATGAATGTAAATTTAGCGAGGGCTGTGCCCCCTGTAATGAGCTGATTAGGACATGAAGTCATTTGATCGGGGTTGACTGCCTTCCCATTGATCTTCGCAAATAGAGATTCTCATTTACGCTCTTTCTCTCAGTACTTACACCAGCTAAGGGATGGATGACCCGAATGAGAAAGATGAAATATTACGTGGAGTACGATGGGGGACAATGGGAGCGGGAACAAGAACAAATGAGGCTCTCAGAGGGATATATTTCTTTTTCCACGGAGGCCATCTGGCCGCCTTTCCCCCACCGCGAAGCACCGACGAAAATGCGAAAATCCAGATGGAACTTACCTTTTACATCCAAACCTCCTCTGTACTTGTCCCATCCCTTCAGTCGGATCTTATTCCCCAGTAAAGATAGGAATTTCTCGAACTCCGGAGTTCCCGTCTCTGCACCAAAAAAAAAGAACCCAATCAACTGAAGGTCTATCAACGTCATGTATTCAGCAATCTGGCACTTGCTTCCGTACCGTTGCTGTACATTTCGTCATCGCACGATTGACCTCCCTTCATGTAAATCACTCCGAACTTGAAGTTCACCGAACCTTCTTGCTCTTCAAGAAGCAGGAGATCCTGAGCCAGGAACGATTTAAAACAGGAAGAAAACACATGAAAGCAAGAGATTTTCTGGGTAAAGATGGAGGAATGGGAGGAAGAGGATTATGGAGACAATTTTTCAAAGGGAAACTAAAACCGTTGAGATAATTTTCTCTTATCACCCTTCGCGAGAAAGAATGAAAGAATGAAGCAAGGATTGCTAAGACGCTCGAGTTTGAATGATATTTTTTTTTCCAGGAAAGAAAAAACTTCACTATCAGGGGAGCCAAGCAGTATATACCTTTTGGACATCTGGAGAGCAGATTTCTTTTGGTCCTTTCTCGATTTTCTCCATATTGATGAAATTACTAGAGCAAAGAGAAAGAAGAGGCGTGTTGAAGTCCAATAGGCATTTATCAAGGTCTTGATTAAAAAAAAAAACATTGAATGGGCGTGGACGAAACGCTACTCTTCGAAAGATTGAAAAGTTCCCATGGGTCGTTCATTGCATTTCCACGAGAGTGAACTTTTAACGGCGACATCGCCAGCCCGAGCCCATGAAACTGAAGTTTACTCGCGAGAACCTCAATCAGCGGAATGCAGATGAACCTGGGTTTTACTCCTGCCCTCGTTTTTCCATTCTGATGCCGCTACAGGAAGAGTATCCTAACAAAATATCCTGGCTGAACCACCAGGTGGATAGGAGGTGGATTTGGAACCAGGAGGATGTCCCACCCGGTAGAAATCCACCTGGTCATTCGCACTCGTGCTTCTCCAGCAAGGTGGATGTTCCTCCCAGGGTGGATTTTTAACCAGGACATCGCTCCAACAGGTTGAAATACGCCTAAAGGGATATCCGCCAGGTTCCAAATCCACCTGACAGGTGGACGTTTTGTACATCGTAAGGACATCACGGAATCTAGAGGGATTGAGCATGGAGATAATCGTGGAGAGAATCGTGCCCTTACCTGATGATTTGCTTCACAGTCGGAGGTTTGTTGGCGTTGTGCGATATGCTTATCTTGTGTGCACCCTAAAGCAGCAATGGGGAAGTAACGGACGAAAAATTATCATTTCTAAGAGCTAAGTTGAAACAAAGAGGCACAAAAAGGATGCAGGCTCACGGTTTTTCTCCATAGTATGGCTTTGTACTGAGGAACACATTGGTCATCGTGGAGAACAACCGACAGCAAAAATGGCACTTTCTCACTATCCAATCCCACATAATTCTGGTGCACTGCAAAAGTATCCATAAGATATCACCATGCTCAGGTTTCATCTGAAAGAATTCCTCATAGTTTCGTTACTTACGCTTTCCCAGGAAATACTTGAAGTACCACCGGGTCTGGTACTCGGGGTTCTCAATGACTGGAGTGCTAGGCGAACTGTACATCTGTGGCTGTTGCTGTTGCTGAAAAAATAAACTTTTTAAATTCACGGTTCAGCAATGTACGAGCACATCGAATATGCACATGCAGAGTCTTTCCTGCTTGCTTGATTCTGGATTATTTAATATTTCATCTTAAATTAAAGAGAAAATTAGTTGTTTTTTTTTAGTGAAGTCGACTTTGGAGGATAGGCAGCAGCTGTTTTACTATTAATTTTTGTTATCTAATGCATATGATCCACCATTGATTGCATTCTTTTGCTCCCATCTGCCAAAGTCTCAGAGGCAGCGAACCACCTAAGCTCTTCAGATAAGTTTCAAAATCCAACCTCGCCCCGAGAGAAATGAATTCATATGCCTGGTACAGCTAAGATATGCTCAACGTCCCTGGAAACACTTCGCTCGCCTCATTCTTTTCCCAGCTCGTAAGTGCCTCTGCTGCCTCCTTGCTCTCGACTCATCAAAATTTCACACGTGAACCACTCCGTTCGATATCCGCAAGCATTTTATGCACATCAGAGCGCGTTCATGATTCTTTAACGACGTCATGTCTCTGGACGGGTTCCTTCGATCCGGAGAGTGAAAACCCTTGCAGGGAAAGCAACTGACCTCGTCCCGGTCCACCAGACCTTCCCCGCTCTCCACTCGGAATCGGCGAAGGTTCATCGCTTCGTTCCCCTCGCATTCGATCTGGGGAAGCTGAAAAGGCACAGGGTTCTAGCGTTCACAGCATGAGATTCTAAAAATACCTCAGGAAGCATGATCTGATAGACCGTAACAAAGGCAGAAGGATCAAGGTGTCTGAGATAGAGACAGGAAACGAGGAAGCGGGGAAACGAGGAAACGGGGATCAATCCACCCCTGCATGGATCGATGAGCAAGAAAACGCAAGGAAAATGCCTTGAATCCCGGTTCCTAACAAGAGGCCTCGTTGCCCTTCTGTGAAATAGTGATTCCGTTCCAGTTCCATTGAATGGCACTCCAGTGTCACCTGCGTCACCGACACTCGTTTTTCGGTCTCATTTCATAGCATATGATGTGCAAATATTTTCTTCACCATGAGGTCTTTTACCTGGTTCTCAACATTAGGGCTCTCTGGGAAGCCGAAGGAGAGGATTTTAATACCTGCTATAATGATGCAAAATGAAGCCAACTTCCTCCGGGAAGCACATCCATTCCAAGTAATTCTTCTGGGAAAACGAGTTTCTGACTCAGGTGTTTCTCTCTTACTTCAATGGTCTCTCATGAAGTCCCTAGATAATACGAGTCTGTATAAAGTAAATATTATCCTTAAAGAGGCCCAAACTTAGCCTTCGTTTTACCCTTTGAAGAATGACCTGTAATTGACAGTTGAAAAACCTGACATTTTCGCCTGCAAGACAGTCAGCGCTCGAAAAGACTGAACTCACGCTCATTATTTTGAGCTCTCGCTGCAGTTGATAAAGTGCTGAGTCTGCGGACGCTTAGCCCGCTCCTTCGCTCCTTGGCCATATTCCTGAAAATGCTGGTCACGTTCGGAACTTGGGCAGAAGGACTATCTCTCGTATCTTCGTATCGAGGATAACGTTCGAACCTGTCCGTCAAGGGCTAACTCGATTACAGTCACCATGTCCTCTTATGATGCCAATGGGCCCCCGTTAGCATCTTTTTCGGCAAATGAGAGGGACTGGGGACCGACAAAGATCCAGTGGATGGAACTAACTCTGTATTAGCCGTGTCAGTTCCCGTCAGCCTATTTGATAGCTTAGAATGAAAAAATATGGGAAACTATTCTGAGAAAGGGCAGATAGAGAGGAAAGAAAAGAAAAAAAGAAGTTATTCCTCAGTTGTCTTCTCTTCCTTTCGTTCCGGCTATAGAAACCGCGGCAGGAGGAAGACAGGAAGGGCATGTCTCCCTCACTCCCCCGTGCCTCCCCCTCCTCTCATATATCCCTCTATTCTTCCCGATTCTCTCATTTTGTAGCCGCGATGCCGGATCCCTCGGAGCTAGTCTCTGCGGAATACGTCCCTTCACCGATCGTTGCCGTAGACCCCTTCGCCCACGATGCCCTTATCTTTTGGCTCAGTCCACCCAAAAGATTGTGACGATTTGCTGACTTACGTTATGCCTAATGCCAAAGTTATGAAAGGTTCTTTCAGCAAGAAGGGAAAAAAGCGAAATCGAGTTCTCAGCCTCATATTGCGCGTTGCTATGGTGAAACCAGTGGCGCAACCATAGGGGTTCCAATTCCAACCCCTCTCCCCCTTCAACCAAGCTCCTTTCATATCAGGTGTGACAAACAATATACGTAAGACAAAATATATTGCAAATATTTTCTATCGTTCGTTACGGGCATCGCCATAAATAGGTATTTCGAAAAGACGCGCTTACTTCACCTGCTGTATCTTGTTTTTTCTCCACTCCTCGTGTACGAATGCCTTGACACAAAAGAGATCTGTTCACTAGAGTTGAATCTAATCCGGCTCAGTCCTTCTGGACATCTCAGTGAAAAGCTGATATTCCCTGAACAATCAGTGCATGTGAGTCTCTACGATGGAGGGGAAAAAGTACATGTAGTTTTTAGAATCCTCTTTTTTTTTGCTGGAAAGGTTGACCACCTCTCCAAATCCTTTCACGTGAACAGGCAACGTGTTAGTGTTTTGGTGTGTAATCTCAGGAGAAGCTTTCAAGCTGAGTCATATTACCATTTGTTGCCAATGGAACTGAGGTTTTAAATTTCTTAGCCTTTCTTTAAAATTAAACATATCAAATTAGCTTTTAAAAACTCAGCTCATTCTACTCATTATGCCCAAGACGCAGATCTGGTTGCGCCATTGGCTGAAACCACTTATAGGCTGTATGGACAGTGGGGCGTAGGAATTGCTCCGCGGATATGATGAAGCATTAAAGGGCATCATCATCCTGATTTCGTAGAAGTGTGTTTGCATTAGTCACGAGAGTGTGAAACTTGAGCGCGTGTATAGTGGTAAATGAGAGCCGGACGGTTTCCGAAACGGGAATACGGCGAAGCACACTCCCAACAAATGCACGGCTGTGCTTGGTGTGCAGTCCGTTCATTTGCGAGCGGAACGAAAGCGCTTGCTCGTCCGTCCCCTTTACATAACAGTTGCTCGCTCCACGAGAGCTATGCGGACAGTCGGTGCCCTAATGAGGTCGGTTGCACTCTAGCCTCGTGATAGATTGGCGTAGCTCTTCCTTCCGACGAAAGGGAAGAGGTCATTAGGTGGTTATGAATATGTGCGCCTTCGAGAGGAAATCGTCGGGAAGGAGTCGTTTCCTCGTGTGCCTTGATTGTGGTGGCGTCCTCGTCGAAAAGCGTGATATTGGCATCGTTTCTCTCCTGGAGTTCCAGGGTTATTGTTGCCCGGGGCCTTTCAACACAGCTTACATTGATAATCGATGCCCCCCCTCTCTTTTCCCTCCCCTTCTCTCTCGCGATTCCATTCTCCTGCATTACCTATAACGAGATCAAAGGCATTTTCTTCAAGGGTTTTATGCATTGACGTGCTTTACTCCCAGGTACCAGATCGGAATTTCCAGACGTACGCGCAATACTTTCTCTCCAGAGAACTGTTCCTCCGTGGATCACCGTTGCAGCGATCGAAATTGAGCTCTTTCCAGAATTGGAGTAGGTCGAAGCCCGTTATGGAAATTATAGTCTCCGCTCTGTGGCGCATCGATCTGACCACCATGAGTTGCTAGTGAGGCTCAACAGGCAGGCAGAATCGAGTATGCAGACCCGCATTTGTGGTTAGCCCACACCCGCAGTGTCCCCCACAGCATAGACACAGGTCGTGCCTGGAACATGTTCCGATTCGAATCCAAGTTCCTCAGTCGTTTCCGTGGGAGCCACGGAGGGAAAGAGCAGCGTCCGGACGAGGTCGAGGATGTGTTCTACCCCTGTCCCCCCGTCGTGACCCCGTACCAACGGGATCGCTCCCGTTCTCTCTGTGTTGGAACGAGTGGTGCACTCTTGGCCGGGGTGAGAAATGGCCTTCTGGCTGTCTCTGGCCCTGCCACTCATTACATGGACATGCTGCAACAACGACGAGCATCCACTGCGACCTCCACGTAGGTGACATGCCCGAGGGCCCATGTTTGTGTCCAGTCATTAAAACCAGCTAAGGGCCCCGTGTACATTAACTTTTGATGGCTCTGCCATCCGGCCAGGGTTTATCCTCGTCGTGAGAAACCTAGAGCTATATACTCTTGTATTAATATTCACTTTCCCCTATGAAAAACAGAATTTCAAATGAGGTTATTTAATGCATGCAGCTTTCGCGGAACTCGCACGCCATGTCGAAATTCGGAAGATTCATCGTCCATGCAGAACGCTAGGACATTTAACCCTTCGGGGGGGTACACGCGGATATATCCGTTTTTACGCTTCTTATCCCACAGGGTACGCCCGAAATCCCACCTGCTAAAGGGTCAAAGATCTCCATGCGTGAATGCGCTTGTTCATGTAGGTGAGGTGGGATATTTATTCACGCAGCCCTTTGTCTCTGTCCCAATCCCCTTCGTGAGGAAAAAATAATTCGATTTTCTGTAATGACATGGGTCGTATTTACTATGCTCCTCGTGCCGTGCGCTCGCCATGACGGCCTTATTATTATCCGCACGGCATGTTTCTTGCCAAAACCTTAACTGCCGATGTAACGACTTTCCAAGCTTTGACGTCGGCAGAATGAGATTTCCATTTCTTCCTGTAGTGCCTGCATATGAAATCAGCTCTGTCTAATCCTTTCAGACTAATCCTTTCAGTCTAATCCTTTTCTCACCGCATCAGTCCTGTCACTTGACTAGATTGGACTAGATGTGGGTATCAGAAATCGCCCGTTGAGCGACTGCGCTCTACAAGTTTTGACTGAACAAATGATGATGACTGGACTAGACGGGGTTGATTTGACAAGCAGGCACTCTTAATTATTGGTCAATTTCTGACGCTGCACTTTTAAAGTCCTAGTTCAGCCCATTTTTAGTTTGTTTTCCTTCGTGTAATTTGCATGAATTTCATGCATGAATTAGCATTTAGTATGTATGCATTTCATGCATATCAAATGGTAATGGAGTTGTCAGACCATCGCATCATAGTTGGAGTTAGTGTCAAGCAAACATCATCTCCGCGATAGACTGACATTTCCCCGAACAGAAAAAAGAAAAGATGAAGACGTGGGCGATCTGCACGCAAACCCCTGAGGAAGGCATTATTCCATTCCCAAAAAGAGAAAATCATCTTCCCGCGGATGAGTGGGAGGAATAATCCATCGATTAGCTGAATCTCTTGTCAAGCCGAATCTCTCTGGCCATTTTCTTATCGACCGCTGACCTCGCTCTTATATTCTAAAAGACGACATCCCTCTCTGTCTTGTAACGACCTCAAGAGAGGTCTTGCCTGGCCCGATGCCAGTTCGGCTTGATGCGTAAACATCCTTGCTTGCCTATTAAAGTATGCATATTTTGTCCGAACTCTAGACTTTCCCAGTCGGATGCAAGCGCCTCTTAATCATTCCACTCCACTTCCTGACGGTGCGGCTGTCTGGAATCGAGGGGGAAAAGTTTTTTTTTGGTGCAATTTTGCTGGAGCATGTTTTACGAGCTCTCCAGAGAAGGAGGATCGTTAAATGCTCGTTTTATGCAAATGATTGAATGCGTTCGAAAAAATAGAGACCCACAAATACATAATTTGCCTCGTTTCTGATAAGATGTCATTCCCCCTCTGCGTCATGTCGTTTATTTTTACGAGGTGTGTATGCATCTCCAGCAGCAGCGAAGCATGTAAATGACCTGTTTCCGCTACTATTTGTTTCTTTCCAGTGCGTCGTCATGTGATCTCATATCCCGGAGAGGAGTCTTCAGTCGCAGACACTACGGGTCCGTGGAGATGGTATGTGCCCATAGTCTCTGCATGTGACAAATGCATTCCGAGGACCCTATTTCTGGGACTTCTCCTTCCTCCCCTCCCCCCAC